AAATTTCTAAAGTTACAGTTACACACGGGAAGCGGGTTCGACATGTTCTGGAGGAAGAAAGTATTACATTTGATGATGCAAATGCGGACGGTGTGATAACCCCCCACAACGATGCATTGGTAATTTCTCTACTTGTACATGATACTAATGTAAAACGAGTTTGATTGATCCAGGTAGTTCCGTGAACATTATTTTGCTAAGAGTACTAAATGAGATGCAAGTAGAAGATAGACTGGTACCTAAGGCACATACCCTGTCCGACTTCGATAATTCGAGCGTTGTGACAAAAGGAGAGGTAACACTTACAACATTCGCAGAAGGAGTGGTAAAAGAAACGAAGTTTCAGGTGGTAGAGATGGAAATGGCTTACAATATAATTCTCGGAAGACCATGGATACACGAGATGGATGTTGTTCCATCTACCTTACATCAAGTTATGAAATTCCCATCACCATGGGGAATACGTCAAATTCGTGGGGATCAACAAACTTCCAGAAGCATCAATTCTGTAGCAGATTCAAGTACGAACAACGAAGAAAAGTAGCAATTACAGAGTCCAGTTGAGGATATCACGGCACAAACCTCAACTGAACAAGGGCGGATAGATGTGGACTCAAGGTCCGATTCCATTCAAGAGCCAGAAAAAAATGAAAATATCAAAACAATAATTGAAGAATTAGAGGCTGTAGAGTTGTTTTCACAATGGCCTGAAAGGAAAGTTTATATTGGGGCCAACTTAAGCCACGACTTGAAAGGTAAGTTGATTGAATTTTTAAAAGCTAACATAGATTGTTTTGCTTGGTCCCATTCTGATATGACAGGAATACCCCCAGAAGTAATGACTCACAAGTTAAATAAAGACCCATCGTATCCACCTGTCAAACAGAAAAAGAGAAAGCAGGGGACTTTCAAAAACCAGGTGATTCAAGATGAGGTTCAAAAATTATTAAAAATTGGGTCTATCCGCGAGGTAAAGTATCCTAATTGGTTAGCCAACACTGTAGTAGTACCAAAAAAGAATGGCAAATGGCGAGTTTGTGTAGATTACACCGACCTTAATAAAGCATGTCCTAAAGATTCTTTTCCATTACCACATATAGATCAACTGATTGATGCTACTGCAGGACATGAATTGTTAAGCTTTTTAGATGAATATTCAGGGTACAACCAAATCAAAATGGATCCCCTAGATGAAGAAAAAACTTCATTTATAACAGACAGGGGGACTTATTGTTATAAAGTAATGCCCTTTGGCCTCAAAAACGCTGGAGCCACGTATCAAAGGCTGGTGACCAAGATGTTTCAGGAACACCTAGGAAAAACTATGGAAGTCTACATAGATGATATGCTTGTCAAATCTCAAAAGTCGAGGGATCATATACAACATTTGTCTGATACATTTCAGATTTTACGAAAGTTCAATATGAAGCTAAATCCCGAGAAATGTGCATTTGGCGTCTCGTCAGGTAAGTTTTTGGGTTTTCTTGTTTCTAACCGAGGTATTGAAGTAAATCCTGCGCAGATTAAGGCCATTGAAGAAATTCCTGACATGCTCACAAGTAAGAAAGAGGTGCAGAGATTAACGGGAAGAATTGCAGCCTTGGGGAGATTCATTTCTAAGTCATCAGAAAAATGTTTTAAATTCTTTTCAGCTCTCAAAAAGCAAGATCAGTTCGAATGGTCTGAGGAATGTCAATGAGCACTCAAGAACTTGAAGACATACCTGTCAAATCCACCGTTGCTAGCAAAACCAAAAGATGGAGAAAGGTTACTTGTCTATCTAGCCGTTTCAAAAGTAGCGGTAAGTGCTGTTCTGGTTCGTGAGGATCAAGGTAAACAGTCTCCAATTTATTATGTTAGCAAATCACTATTAGATGCAGAGACGTGGTATCCTCAATTAGAAAAACTTGCACTTGCATTAATCATGACATCTAGAAAATTGAGGCCTTATTTTCAATGTCACCTTATCTTTGTAGTATTTGCTTATCCCTTGCGTAATATATTACACAAACAGGAACTATCGGGTAGGTTAGCCAAATGGGCCATAGAGTTGAGTGAATATGACATCACATATCAACCCAGGACTGCAATAAAATCACAGGTGTTAGCTGATTTTTTAGCTGATTTTAGTCAAGGGATGCAACTAGAAGCGGAAAAAGAACTACAAGTGTTCAATGGATCTAATTTAGGAACCTGGACTTTATTTACTGACGGCTCATCAAATGTGAAAGGTGCAGGTTTAGGAATTGTTTTGGTACCACCTACGGGTGAAATCATTCGACAAGCCATAAAATGTCATCCTGTAACTAACAATGAGGCAGAGTATGAAGCCGTGATTGCAGGTTTAGAACTGGCACGTGAACTTGGCATAGAACAAATTATAATCAAAAGCGATTCGCAACTCGTAGTCAACCAGATGCTGGGGACTTATACAGCCAGGGAAGTAAGGATGCAGCAGTACCTGGAAAAGGCACGAGATCTGGTTAGGCAATTCCAAAGCTGGAAGGTTTTGCAAGTCCCACGGAAGGAGAATGTTGAGGCAGATGCCTTAGCTAATCTTGCATCTGCAGCAGAAGTAACAAATGAGGAAAATGCTTCTGTCATAAATTTATTTCATTCGGTACTCGATCAGGACAAAAATGAGGTAAATTTCAATAACCTAACTTGGGATTGGAGAAACGAGATTGTTGCTATTTTGCAGTATGGAAACGTACCTGAAGATAGGAAAAAAGCTCATGCGCTTCATAAAAAGGCTGCTCGGTACTGTTTAAAGCAAGGCAATCTTTATCGAAAAATGTTCGGCGGTCCATTAGCGAGATGTCTCGGGCCTTCTCAAACGGAATATGTAATGAGAGAGATACACGAGGGGCATTGTGGAAATCACGCAGGAGGAAGGTCACTGGTAAGAACCATGATTAGAGCATGCTATTATTGGCCTAAAATGGAAGAAGAAGCGGAGAATTTCGTGGCTAAATGTGATAAGTGCCAAAGATATGGTAACAATATGCATAGACCTGCGGAGTTGCTACATCCGGTCATCGCACCATGGCCTTTTATGAAATGGGGGATGGACGTCGTGGTTCCACTACCACAGGCAAAAGGCAAGGTAAAATTCCTACTTGTACTCACTGACTACTTTACTAAATGGGTAGAAGCAGGAGCATTCAAACAGGTACGAGAAAAAGAAGTCAGAGATTTCATTTGGCGAAATATTATATGTCGATTCGGTGTACCAAAGGAAATCGTGTGTGATAATGGCCCGCAATTTATAGGCGCACAAATCACAGAATTTTTTCAAAGTTGGCAGATCAAAAGGATTACCTCAACACCTTACCATCCAGTGGGTAATGGACAAGATGAATCAACAAATAAAATTATTATCAACAATTTGAAGAAACGATTGGAAGAATCCAAAGGCAATTGGCCATAATTGCTACCTAGTGTTCTATGGGCATATCGCACCACAGCAAAAACAAGCATGGGTGAAACACCATTTTCACTGGTGTACTGGGCTGAAGCTTTGATCCCAGTGGAGATAGGAGAACCTAGTACGAGATATACACAAGCAACTGAGGAATCCAATGAAGAGGAAATGCGACTAAATCTTGATCTACTTGAAGGGAAAAGAGAAGCACCATTAATAAGGATGGCAGCGCAAAAACAAGTTATGGAACGATACTACAATCGAAAAGCATGTAAGATACTTCAAGATTGGGGACTTCGTACTCAAGAAAGTTTTTCAATCCACAAAGGCGGCTAATGCGGGAAAATTAGGTCCAACCTGGGAAGGACCCTACAAAATTCATGGTATTGCAGGGAAAGGAGCATACAAGTTGGAAACAATGGATGGTAAGATATTACCTTCACATTGGGATGCTGTTCACCTGAAGAGATACTATTTCTAAGGAGTACCCACGGGGCAGGTATCCTCATTTTAAAATTTTGTTTTTGAATTGTTAAAATTTTACTAACGATTTTAGATGATAGGCAAAAAGCTAACCCGTACTAAATGATGAATCACGACCTGCAAGGCACGTGGAATAAATTAAAATTTCCGGTCTAGGGTTACAACTATTCTGATAGAAATTGAGACGGGTTAAGCAGTCTTCATCTATAATCGTACCTCCGAGTCCCGTATGTTTTATTCCTTTACAGGTAAAGGACCAAACAAGAGGAGTAATCAATTGCTCGAGACTTCATACTTCAAATCTCAAACACTTGGGGGACTATATAATATACATAGACACGTGCATAAAGAAGGCAAAGAAGATTGAAGTTCAAGCTTGAAAAGTTTACTCATTGAATGAGTCAGGTGCAGAGCAAAGTCACGAGTTAAAGCCAAAGAAAAAGCAAAATCACGAGCTAAAGCAAAAGAAAAACCTCATCATAGTTAGGTTAAAGGCAATATACATGTATTGAAACGGGTTATAAATAAAAACCTTGTTGTATATTTTTTTTTTAAAAATCTGTTGTAAGGAAAACGGTTACGAAAAAGTTATAGAAGTTATTTAAATACATGTAAAATATTAGTTAAATCTTGACAGAGTTCAAATAAAAACTTGTCAAAGGTATTTCAAGAAACATGTGTATTCCTATTTCTTTTGTCGTATATTAACGCCATTATGAAGTTAAGACGTCTTCTTCATTAAGTGTCGAATATAAAAGGCCCTCTTTTATAAAATTCATGATTGATTCAAATATTCATGAAGTAAAAAAACATTTTTGCAAAATAAAAATACAAATTATCCAATATGTCCTTAAATATAAAGGCAGGAATAAGCAAAACAGAAGTTCAAGCAATAACAGAAAACTTCTTAATATTAAAAAAGTATAGACTAAATATAAACTTAGTCATAAACTAAAAGTTGTTTATACAAAACGCCCCGAAAAAGGTCCGGGGACTTAATGTTTTCAACAAACCCTCAAAAAAGACCAAGGGTTACAACCACATACCATCCAAAAAGAAAAAAAAAGGGAGGTCACATATTATGAACTTGTCACTAAGGAGTTGAAGAAGGAACTGAAGCAGAATCATCAGCAGCAGCAGGCTCAACTTGACTTGAAGGAAATGGAGCACTCATCGTACCCGTATCATCTTCTATATTTTCAGAAGTTTCAGCCACGGGAGAAGAAAAGTCTTGGCTTTGCTGAGTCTTTTTGATGGTTTCTTTTATTTTAGCCAACTCAGCCTCCAAGTTGAAATTCTCTTGGCTAACTTCTACAAGGGTATCATGGCGAGAATTTAAAAATGCCCAACTCACTTCAATTGCGGTTTTATCCTCGAGAATCTCGTAATCCTTTTCCCACTCAGCAATTTCACTTTTAAGTTTCTCATTCTCAACCAAGGCAGAATCATAAGAAATTTGAAGAGAAGCATGTGAACTTTCTAAAAAGCGAACCTTACCAGAAGATTCCCGGAGGTCTTCTTGAGTCTGAGTCAAAGTTTGCACAAGTTCACCAGCATAAGCTTCTTTTCTACTTAAGAGAACTTTCAACTCTCTGATTTCTTCACTAGCCTTGGAGAGTTGCTCGGAAAAGGAAGTTTCGAGGAGATTTTTGTCTTTACTAGCTTGATTTGAGGAAGCTCTTTCAACCGCCAACTCCGAAGTTAAATTTCTCAGCTGCTGTTCTAAGGTGCACTTGTTCTCTTCTAATGCTTCCATGTCAATTTGAAGGCTCTCAAATTGCTCTCTCCAGTTATCTGCTTCAACTTGGTACTCATGCATCAACTGCTCCGTGTGAGAAATCCTCTTCATCATTTCTGTACCAACGAGGTTGATCTAAAAAAAAGAGAAAAGGTAAGAGCTTTACAAAAAGGAATAACAAATCATTAAAAATGAATACCTTTAATGATGAGTGTATTATGTCGTTCATCAAAGTTAAAGAATTGTGGCTCTCAAGCTTGGCCTTCTCGATTGGACCAATTAGAGGTTTCAACCACACATCAGCCCCTCCTGATTTTCTCAAAAGATTACCATCGGCAGGGACTTCGATGATAACCTGTCTCATGGCTCCACCTCTACTTGAGGAACCAACCTCAGATTGTTTAACAGTTGTGGGAGGAATTGTAGAAGAAGTCAAAACAGTTGAGGGAGGAGCAGTAGAAGGAGTCAAAATAGCTGGGGGAGAAGCAGCAACGGGAACATCCTCGAAAGGCAAAGAAGGTATTGTAGGAGCAGATAAAGGAAAAGAAGTAAGGGGCGCTTCATCAGAAATTGGTTTTAAACTTTCACTACCAAACCCGCGGGTAAAAAGCTGCTCACTAGAATCATGGGCGGCAGCGGGGGTATCATCATCAGGAATCACCAACGGGCCTTCAACAGGCTCGGTGTGAGGAGTAGAACGAGGGGGAGATGCTTCATTATCTGAAATAATTCGTCTCCTAGCTCGTGGCTTTTTTATCAAAGAACCCTCGTCTTGTTCTTCCTCCTCCTCAGAGTCTTGATCATTAGTAGCTTTCCTTTACGATGAAGAGCCCAAAATTATTTCTTGGGCCCTTTCCAAAGAAATTCGGGAAGCTACGACAGCCTCAGTAGTAATACCTCGAATGGCAAATCCTGATAAAAAGAAGAATTAAAATAAATTCTGGAAGAAGCGATAAGAAAAGTTATAAAAAAGACTTTTACCGTGAGTTTTCACTTTCCAACCAAATCGTTGAGAGAGAGTTTTCCAAGATCTACCCTCCATCGGGGCAGCATTTAACAATTTTCCTACCCAACCACGAAAATTGGGAATTTCATCGACAATTCCCATGGTTGCTAAAAAAAAGAAGAGAAGAAAATTAAAATGACAATCAACAAGACTAAGAAAAAGGTATGTGAAGGTTATTAAAAAGAAAACTCACATGCAAAATTCCACTTCTCAGGGAAAGGAACGTTTTCATCACCCACTAAACCAACAGTGGGGGCAGCAATAAACCTGGCATACCAGCCTCGATCCTTCTCGTCTTCTGGATTGACCAGAACTCTTTTGCTTCTTGCTACTAAAGTAAAAACTCCTTGGCGAAAGAGTTTGGGAGAGTAAAGGTGAATTAAATGGGATAAAATAAAAGGCACACCAGCCATGTTGGTTAAGTGTCTCAAACAAGCAATAGCCCTAGGGCCAATTTGCATTAAACAGACGTCGAAAAAATAAAAGAATTCGAGGATAACAGGGTCAATAGGCAGGTTTGAAACCCAAATT